CTTGCTCAGGTCATGATCTCATGGTCGTGAGATCAAGCCCCGCATTAGGCGCTGCACTCGGTGAGCATCTGCTTGTCCCTTTTCCTCTGCTCCTCTCCCCTCTGTCTCTCTTTCGAATAAGTAAATTAATAAAATATTAAAAAAAAAAAAAAGGAGGAGAAGGAGGAGGAGGCACAGGAGGAGGAGGAGAGAGATCTTTCCCAAGTCCTCCAGTAGAATTCTCATTCCATATCACTGACCAGGACTGGGTTATATACTCACTTGTAGAATAATCGTTGGTGAAAAGGAAAGTGGATGCCGTGACTGACTAAGGCCAAGCATGATTCAACGCCTGGGCACATTGCTGCCCAAATTAAACTGAGATAGCAAACAGGAAGAATGACTAAAATAAGCATGTAGTAACCTTGTCTGCCACAGAGAAGTACAAAAGAATCAAGAGGGGCAATATGAGAAAATCAGGGAAGCTTTATGCAACGCTAGTCTAAATTCCGCAATGTACCCCTCAAGCCTGCCTCTCACCACTAACGTGTGGCACCGACTCTGCACACGGTGAGAGCTCAGTACACATTTTAGAAAAACTGAATATAGAAGGTGGCAAACTGAGTAGGATTCACGCATGTGGAAATATTTATGAGGGCTGAGATACCACACTGATATTAAGAAAGCCAAAGAGAAACGATGTTCATCTCTCAGTAAAGTAGATAATAATGAAGGCTGGTTGTCTACCCTTACTGTGTAGACCCCTTACCCTGACACACAGGGCATGTCCTGTGAGAAGAGGGTAACCACTAATCAGAAGAAGAAAAAGGGTAGTACTTCTGACAGTCCAAAGAATGTCATTGGGGACAATTTATTACCTCCTTCCACAAATACTTGAGAACCTATTATATGTCAGGCACTGTTCTGGACACCTCTGTTACATTAGTGAACAGAAATAACAAAAATTTCCTTTGGCCATGAGCTTATGTTCTAGCATAATAATGAATAATTTACATACAAATGAGCAGGTGATAAGTACTAGGGAAAATAAACAGATCAGGGTTAAAGGAATCAGAATCAGTAGCTCTTAGGTTGGGTGCCATGGACTAGGTAAATAGGGTGGTCAGAGACTTCTCACTGAGAAGGTAACGACTGAGCAAAATCTTGAAGAGGGAGAAGGAGACCCTTGGGAATACTTGTGGGACGTGTTTGCCTAGGGGCGCCTGGGTGGTTCAGCGGTTAAGCAGCTGCCGTTGGCTCAGGTCATGATCCCAGGGTCCTGGGATCAAGTCCTGCATCAGGCACCTTGTTCGGTGGGGGAGTCTGCTTCTCTCTCTCCCTCTGCCTGACAATCTGCCTGCCTGTGCTATCTATCAAATAAATAAATAAAACCTTTTAAAAAGAAAAAAAAAAGTTTGCCTAATATTAGACACTGCACTTTCCATTCTACAGAGGACTTTATTATTGGTACCTTCCCTGCTTCTAGCTCTCTAGAAACATGGGTCTCCCACCCCTTCCCTGAGATATCTCTATATTGCATAGAAGTGAACCATTGCTTCTCTTAGAAACAAAGTTGGGGACCTCTGTATGCCTATTTCCAATGTTCCCACTGGTATGAATTTCATATCTCACTGCCATTTCACATTTGACACCAAAATGTAGCACTTTTATTTGAATAATTAAGGATGAAGGTCTTCAATTTTACTATTGCTGGTTATTATCACATTAATATGTCTTTTCTAGTTAATGTTTATCTGTAAGAACTATAATCAGGACAATGCCAGGGGAATGATCAGTCCTTGACAAGTTAGCCGAACCAATGCATTATATTTAAGATTTAAGTTATAAATTCTATAAAAATTCAGAAAATACTTATGAAGTCATGATTCTACCCTGCTCTAAGTGAGACTTTTCAAATAAATAGGAAAGGACAACAGTCTATACATCCATGTTGGGCCATTGATTGGTTTGTGTGACTTTGGTAAGCTCAGTAGGCCTAAGCTTTCTTTTCTCTAGAGGGCTGGATTGCCTGAGATTGGCTTTAGTGATTGAGAGAGTGACAGATTGACTCTAAGACCCTGTGTCTCAACAGTTTCATCAAGCCATGCAGATTCCACTTCCTGCTTCTTTGAAGGAGACATTAACCATGGCCCAAATTACATTTGCAAAAGAGTTGAATTAATAAGTTTGAATTCCTTTGTTCTCCAAACTGTTGGTCTTAAGACAGTGATCACTGGTAGTTTTGTTTTTTTTTAATAATGAACATCACATCCCAGTGGAACCCAGGATCAACGACAGTACATTATATGTTACAAAGTAAAATGTATTTCAAATATTCTATTTTTTTTAAAGGTTTTTATTACATCCAAAGCAACCATCAACAGGTATGGTTTTTTTTTTTTTTTTTTTTTTTTTTTTTTTTTTTGGTTTAGATTTTATTTATTTATTTATTTGACAGACAGAGATCACAAGTAGGCAGAGAGGCAGGCAGAGAGAGAGGGAGGAAGCAGGCTCCCCGCTGAGCAGAGAGCGTGATGAGGGGCTCGACCCCAGGACCCTGAGATCATGACCCGAGCCGAAGGCAGAGGCTTTAACCCACTAAGCCACCCAGGTGCCCCAACAGGTATGGTTTTCTAATTCCATCAACCAAAGCACATCTGTCTGTAATAATTCCTCCCCCCTTCAAGACCAGGTAGGCCCTGCAGTTTCAGAATGTTGTAGGGATTTGGGCGGTAACTCTCTTTCTTAACCAGCTGTGGATCTTAGAAAGATCATTAAAGCTCTGTACCAGTTTTCTCTCCTGTGGATTGAGGAAACCAAAGAGAACGATGCCCAAGGTCCAGTGCAGGTCTCAACTCTGTGATTCCTGGAGAAAGAGATCCACTTACAGGAGGCTGTGGGAGAACCTTCCCAATCAGCTCTGGGAGGGCTCTGTGTGCCCTGAAGCCCCATTGGAGAACAAAGCTCACAACGACTGAAGAGCCACCAAATGACTTAGTGGGCTTTCACAAAGATGGCTAGGTTTTAATTTTCACTTAAAGCACACACCTGAGGGTAAAGCCTACTTTCCAGAGGGATAATAAACACGCAGGATCTTTTGACTGCTGATTGCTGGAGGATATCTCATTTGGAAATCAGATTTAAGTCACATTCTTTGGAAGTTTTTTACTACCAGAGCAAAATAAAAGTCCCCCAAAGGAATGTTTTATACTTGGAGTTTAAATCTGTTAGAATGTCAAAGTCTCTCACTAAGAGTTAAGCATCTATAAATATTTAAAATGGTGAGACCACAAGAATACTACTGATAATCTCTTTTAGGTTTGAGTAGAAACCAGAAGGAAGTAGCAAAATTCCAGAGAATACTTTGATATTAAACTGTTAACTTTTTGGTCATGTCTAACATCAAAGTATAGCAGAGTTCAGAGAAATGCCTAAATCATCCATCCAAGCACCCAGTCAATTCTATGAATGAGAAAATGGATGGATCACATAAGGGATAATTGAGGAGTCCCTTTTTCCTCTCTGACAATCTTCGATAGGAATGCTGTCACATAAAGACCAGGCTACACAATAAAAGAAAGTCAGCCTTTCTGCCTGAATTTTCAGGATGTAGCTACCCCTCCCCCACACACATGCCGCAGAGCCTGACACATGACCCTGGTTTTCTGTGATTATGGACGAGACATCACTTTAGATGCTTTCTTCACATTATCTTATTTAGTCCTCTCAACAGCCCAGAAAAGTAGCAGTTGTCTGTTCTGTTTTATAATGGTAGACGTTGAGGTCCCAAGATGTTATGTGTGTGCTGTAAACTGCTTTCTCTTCAAATGCCAAAGAGCATTGAAGGAAGACAGTCCCTGATCACAGCCTTCCATTCATCCACTCATTTATACATCCGTTCATTTAGGAACTAATTCTGTTTTTGACACACTTCCTTCTCAGGAAAGCTTCCTAGAAATCCAGCCCAAGTCCCCCCCTTTTTTTATTCAGTTCTCGGTGTGGATGGAAACTCTGGAAAAATAGCTCAAACGTGTCTTTGCCTCCGTGATCTGATTTCCCCTCCATCTTTTCTTTTCCAGCTTAAATTATAAAATTTTCTTTCTCGTTCTCTTTGCAACCATTTTCAAATGATATTTTCCCTTTTAGGAGCAGAATTACAAGCAAGAGAGGGTCCTTTCACAGGGAAGAGTGAAACAGGAAGATTATCACGGCGTTTTTGCATTAGCACCGTGACATTTCTAATAATCTACATAGAAGAGTATTTTTTTTTTTTTTTAGCATCCTCCTAAGTGCCTCTTGAAAACCTCTGTGACATACTCAATAGCTACTGACTAATTTGTTCTGGCAGAAAAATGACTTCAGTATCACTGAAAATATGTTTTCTATCACCAGATCTTATTCAGGTCATTGAGCGGCTTTTCACTGGAAGAAGGGGGTAGAATTTACCTTCAATGAAACATCATGGAGGAGAGAGGGAAATAACATTCTGACCTACACCAACATTAGCAAAATGCAAATCATAGTCAATTTTCTACGAGGTGATATTTCAATAGTTTGGGTTTCTGGAGCGGGGCATCGATCTGAATTGTTTCTTAGGCAAGGTGAACAAACAGTACATGAAGCAGACTGTGGATAAACAACCGTGCAAAACTAACTTTAAGTAGCTTTCAGCTTCGTGACTGAGATAATGCCATTCCTCTAGGGAAGTTCTAAATATAGAGGAATAATGGAGAGCAGTTTACCACAAGCTGTGCAGTTCCCTACACCAGCAGGGGCTGGGCACTGAACGGGGGAGGACCTTAGAGTCCCAAAGCAATTTGGGGGATTGATTAAGGATGCGATAGCGATAGCAATAGACAGGTTCCAGTGGGTGTGGCAGGGTGGGGGAGGGGTCGCATCTCTCTTTTTTTTTCTTCCCCTGCAGAAGCCTGGGTAGCTGCAGTGTAAACTGAAGATATGGGTGATTAGGATGTTAAGTGGGAGCAAACAAAGCTCTTCATTATTCTTCTTTTGGAAACAAAAAGGGATAAAACTCAGCGATCTTTAAGCCTTTCACTTCCCTACAATTTGTCAGCACAGTTGGGGGCTGGCTTCCTTTCCACAGGTGAGATTATGAACTGCTGACACCAAGACGGGGGAGGTATGGTGGCCAGAGGTGTGAAAAAGAAAATTAAGCTTGAAGGGTAGCTTTTGTTTTGATGTTTGCTCTACATCCTTTCTTGTGTTCAAATTAAACGTATGGGGCTAGTGGCAGCCACAGGATTTTAAAGTTGAAAACCTACAGCAGGGCTCTCTGGACAGATCCCCAGATGCATACAACGATCGCCAGTCTTGATAAAGAATGATGACTTCTTGGACTTGGTCTTTAGCTACACCCAACAGAAAGATCTGAACATTTAGTGCAATGCTCTGTATAAGCTATGTGGGAGAGTAAGAGTCACTTCCATACTAATGAAAAGCTCCCTGGTCAAAAATCACACCAACAAATGCATATTGAATTAGAGTTCATAGACATCTAAAGAGAAAAAATTCAAAGGTTTTCTCATAGATGAACTTTATAAGAGATACCTAAGCCTCACATGGCTCAGGGCAAAATTTCAACCCAAATGAAATAAGATGAGATGAAGCTGATTTTTAACAAGATCATTGTCTTTAGATAGGATTTGACTTTGTGTGTGTGTGTGTGTGTGTGTGTGTGTGTGTGTTAGAACTTCATACAGATTTTGGAGGTGGCTTGGTGGTAAGAAGGCTTAGATTTATAATTTTCTAATTAAAATGTATCCTTCATATCAATTTTAGAGAAGTAACAAGCTTAATTCATGGCATTTAATCATTGAGATTTGTTTTGACATTTTGAGAACATGGAACCTAACACTGAGATGTGATTACTTTGCCACAGATCTGCAAGGAAGGTGATGGGCTGCATGGGGATTTGCAAACTGAGGAAAACAGAGAGGAGTCCAGTGGGGGAAGGGAAGATAGAAAAGATCTTGAAGTCAGAAAAACTCAAGGTAAATACATGATTTTCCAGTTGGCCCCCTCTGAGGTCTAGGAATCATCTTATACACATTATCTAAACTTTTCTCCATCTCATCATCTCATTGCTGTTCTATCCCTTGAGCCTCCTTAGATTTAAGGGGAGAAAGACAAGAGTGTAAAAATAACTCTTCTAACCAAGAGCCATAGGGTAAGTGCTTGTAGTGTGCTCTGTAGGAGCACATGGCTTCCTCTGGACCCCTTAGTTCAGGGCTCATCACCAAGCCTTGACAGGGTGCCCCAATACTGTCTGTACATAGAGGCAACTGAAGAGGATTGTCCTCTTCAGTTGCCCTGCACCTTATAAGAAAGCCACCACAAAGATGAGATTTGTCAACTGGTCCCCTCCAGCCCATTGCTGACCTTGCCAAAGGGACAAGGTTTGGAAAGAGAGAAGCAGAGTGGTAATGGCAACAATCGAATTTTTAATCTGAACCTTTTGAAAAGAATAAGGGCTTTTGATAACAGACAGGTGTGCTTGAATCTAGATTCTAAAACTTAGTAGCTCTCTGACCGTAGACAAATTTGGAACATCTCTGTTTTTTCAGTTACTTCTACTCTAGAATGGAGAATGTAATGACAACTGTTTAGGATTATGGTGAGGTCTAAACCAGATCAGACATGTAATATACTCAGCATGGCTTTTGGCCCATAGTAAAGGCTCAATATCTTTCTTATTTCTTTCTCTTCTCTTGTCCTTATTTTTCCTTCTAGCTTTGGGAAGAGATTCACTTTTTTGATAATCCCTTTTTCTCTTAGGCTATTAGAATGTATTTGTTTTCTCTGAAATGGTGTAAACTGAGTTTAGGTAATAGCAATAGCACCTTATATATTGGTCAGGTGTATGCTATTTTGTGATACTTGGAGTAGAATTTTTTATATTTCTGAAAAAGAATCCAATTTGAGCTCACATTTGCTGAGTTTGGCAAGAAGTCCAAAATCAATTAGTTAGAGGGTAGGGAGGAGGGGTAGAAAATACCCCCTTTTTCATTTAGACCTGACATCTATGCTAGAGTCTGATTCCTCCCATATAAATGGGAAAGGGCCTGATCCTTAAGATTCATGATTTCCCTTGCCCTTATTTTCCTTCACTTACTCAGTGCAGCTGACTGATGCTCCTCATTTATCCGCTGACATCCTGCCCCCAGCAATCCCTCCCTCAGTGTGCACCACAGACCACAGGAAAGCTCTCAGCCTCCCCAGACTGCTCGTTGGATTGAGTCCCTCCTTGCATCCATGCTGGTGTCCCTCCACCAGAACATGTGGCTTGAGGGCTTCTGAAACTGAAAAAACCACCACCTCCACCCCGAAAGGCAGTATAAGCTAGGTTATGATGTGGCGACAAACAGGCCCTGAATATTAGCAGCTTAAATCAACAAAAGCATATTTCTTTCCAAGACTGTTTTTTTCTTAGGAGGCCTGGGATAAGAGTACAAAGGGAGGCCTACCTGCCATATGTCTAAATATTTAAAAGTTATAAACCAAGGTAACAAACTATTCAATGAAATACATTCTACCCTCTTACCTTGAAAAATATGTCACTATAGCAATCTGGGAAACCAGATGTGAATTTAGGATTTTGAGACTCCTTGAAGTTCTCTGCTGGGACACAGCTATATTCAGCTAGACAGCCTTTTAGCCTGTCCCGCCCCAGCACAGCTTAGCCTGCACATCCATGCTCCGTAAGTATGCCTCTTGCCTCCCCTCCCCCCAACCTGGTGAAGAACGAATCTATGCAGGGTTAGAAGCAGGCTTGTAGACATGTGCATGAGGAATTCTGAGGGCCCAGTTATCCAAACCATGGAAGCAAATTTGCATATACGGTATCCACAAACAACGAGGATGGAGTACATTTTGTTTTGTTTACTCATTTTTTATCAAATTTCCCCAAGAGAAATGAACAAAGGGGTGCACAGAAAGAGGAAAGGTGGGGTTATAATTCTTCCAAGCACCCCTGGTGCAAAGAAGCCCAGACTTGAAGAATCCAGTGTTGAGTTCTTCTAAGAAAGGGAAGGAATCATTCCTTTTCTACTCTTTTTACTGAGAGATCTCTGGGTACGCTGGAGGGGAACAAATGAAGCAAGCACAGGCAATTTACATCACATTGGTGACCACTGTGCCACACAGGACATGCACTGCATCGTTGACCACGTGCACTGACACCCCTCAACTCGTCTAGGGGTCACCAGCGTCTGGGGTGAGAAGGGTGGTTGGGGTGGATGAAGTAGAGATGTCACAGCCTCCATTTTCTGATAAGGAAGCCAAGGTTGAGAGAAAGGCTATAGCCAGGGACAGAGACTAGAAAAGGATGAGAGATGGGAACTAGTCCTCCATCTCAAAGTCAGGGGCGAGCCCTTTAAATCCATACAAGTCAGCCAAGCAGGAAGAGTTTAGCCTGAGCCACCACGAGTAAAAGACAACATATGGTTTTAGGTAATTGCTTAAGTGTTCCTACCAAGGACTATCCTTCACCTATGTTATCTGTATTCCTTTATTTGGTGAGATTACTTAGTTCTTGAAGTTCCTGACAGACTCCAGAACTATATAGATACAACCAGAAAAGTCACTTTTCTAGGTCAACTCTGCTTTGAATCATCAGCACAATATTTTATTAGTGAGTAGAGCACCTGGACTAACCACTCTTTGCATTAGAGGAAAACAAAATAAAATATGAATAAAAGAAAAAAGAAGAGATGCCACATGCCATTTCCCCTTAGTTCATTTGATTTCTGTTTAACATTTGCAAATTTTTTGCCTTCAACCAATGAATGGCCTGCTTGCTATGGGCCACGCATTGGGCCAAGAGCTCTACATGTAATTTCATTAAATCCTCAGACCAGCCCTGTAGGGCTGTCTTCTTTCCATATATGAAAAGGCTAAGGCTTTAGAGAGGTTAATTAACATGGTGAAGGTCACAGAGCTAATGAGTGGGGAAGCAGGAATACAAATCCCTACCAGGCTACTCCTAAAGCCTTGTTGTGCCCTTAATCAGATACTGTACTGAGCACAGGGGCAGGTTCATCATAATATCAATATATACTCTTCAGGACTGCTGTGCAAATTAAAGATATGATATATAGAAAAAAGGCGGGGGGGCTAGGCAAACCATGAAGTCATGCGAAGTTTCGCTGTGATTATTTCTCATGGCTTTACACAAGGCTAGCTGTACTGTCCTTAGCGGCCAAGTCTATATTAACCCCATAATTCATCCTTAATCCACCCAAGTCTCGTTTGCCTGGCTTTCAGCATAGCCAGAGGGAAACGGAAAATATGTCTTTTGTTAAAAAGGCTTAACACCTGCTGGATCATCAGAGAAGAGACTGATTCACTTACAAAAGACTTGGATTAATTTGGACGTTGTTTCTCTACATAAACCAGACACAAGGAGGCAAGCAACCCCGGGGAAGGATAATCATGCTGGGAGCAGAAGCACTTATTATAAATAATTACCATGTAATTAGCCACAACTTCCCTGAGTCTGTAGCCTGTAGCTAGTCTTAGGAGGTGGCCCTTCCTTACTAAGCGTAAGGAGACTGAAGTGCTTCCCTAAGTTTTCAGGGCGTGTATCTGGGTCTACAGCGGGATCCTCACCATCTGGGTCTACTTCTCATGGCCATGGCCAAGGTGCAGAACAGCTGTGGGTCCCATCAGGTGCATCTCCTCTCCTCTCCCTTTTAAAAGCACAATGACTTCCTTTGCGAGTTTGTGAATGTGACATATCTAGCTTCTTTTCTTAAGCAGTGTGGTTTATGGTTTATGGAACAAGTTAACACACTGTGCAGGCTGTGACGTGCCTCTTTCTGGTGCGCCTCTGAGCTGTGTTTTCAGACCCGTGAGGTGCCTGTGGAAGATAGGTAACAACACTTAAAAGGAACAATGGCAGAAGCCTTGACAAGTGCAGGGAGAGACACAGACACTTCCAAGAGAGGCATGGTTGTCTACAAGATTAATCAATTCCCCTTGTTTTTGTTACAGGTCCACATTTATCTTGGTGGCAGCAGCTACAAATGTGAAATCAAAGCTCTGACGCTAGACAATTGGAATTGTATGTACCTGCTGGAGACGTAAAGGGGCTCCTCTGTCTTCTTAATTGGAATGTAAGGCACACTGCGGAGCCCCGGCCATAAGTCAGGGAGGGGGATGCTTTTCCGTGGTGTCCAGACACACTGAAAAACAGGGGGGGAGACAATACAATTCAGTATCTTGCGTGAGGCAGTTGAAAAGAATGACAGCCATAGCTTGCGTAATCATCATTATTACTGTTACAGCTACCTTTTACTGAGTCCATTCTGTTTGAAAGGCACTGTTTGTGCCCTATCTCATTTCACCCTCTTAATAATACTGTGAAGGAGCTAATACTATTTTTGCCATGTATGGACAAGAAGACTGAGGTGAAGTCACTTGCTTGAGGTCACAAGATGGCAGGTTCTAGATTTGAACCCGGGTCAGACTCATATTCTATAACCTTAGGGCTTAACAAACCAAGAGTCTCCCCAGAATATGTGGGTACAGAGAACACAAGGGCTTGAGAGAACCCTGGAATCACCAAGACTGATCGACCTGGCAGTATTTTTTCTTTTTTAAGAAATTATTTTAAGTTCAGAGTGAACACATTTTATTATTTTTTTTTAAAGATTGTATTTTTAAGTAATCTTTACACCCAGCGTGGGGCTTGACTTCACAACCCCAAGATCAAGAGTGATAGGCTCTACCAACTGAACCAGCCAGGCACCCCAACTTGACAACTTTTTGTTCATTTGTTTGTTTTTTAATATATACATATATATTTATTTAAATTCAATTAATTAACATATAGTATATTAGTTTCAAAGGTAGAGGTCAGTGATTCATTAGTCTTCTTTTTTTTTTTTTTTTTCAATTCATCAGTCATCTATAACACCCAGTGCTCATTATATCATGCTTGGGCAAAGTGGTCATAAGGCAACTAATATTTTTTTTAATTTTTTTTTAAGATTGTATTTATTTATTTGACAGAGAGAGAAATCACAAGTAGGCAGAGAGGCAGTCAGAGAGAGAGGAGGAAGCAGGCTCCCTGCTGAGCAGAGAGCCCGATGCGGGCCTCGATCCCAGGACCCTGTGACCATGACCTGAGCTGAAGGCAGAAGCTTTAACCCACTGAGCCACCCAGGCGCCCTAATTTTTTTTTAATTTTTATTTAAATTCAATTTAGTTAGCATTGGGGCATCTGGGTGGCTCAGTGGGTTAAATTTAATTTAGTTAATATATAGTGTATTATTAGCTTCAGGAGTAGAATTCACTAATTCATCAGTTGCATACAGTTCTCATTACATCATGTGCCCTCCTTAGTGTCCATCACCCAGTTACCCCATCCCCCCACCCGTTCCCCTCCAGCAACCCTCAGTTTGTTTCCTATGATTAAGAGTCTCTTATGGTTTGTCTCCCTCTTTGATTTTGTTTTATTTTTTCCTTCCTTTTCCCTATGTTCCTCTGTTTTGTTTCTTAATTCCACTTCCAAGTGAAATTGTATAATTGTCTTTCTCTGGTTGACTTATTTCACTTAGCATAATACCTTCTAGTTCTATCTGCATCATTGCAAATGGCAAGATTTTATTTTCTGATGGCTGAGTGATATTCCATTGTATATATATACCACATCTTCTTTATTCATTCACCTGCCCAATCTGACAATGTTAAAACTCTGTTTTCAGAAAAGTCAATCAGAGAAGAAGGTTTAACCCATTTCTTTGCAAGGCCATTCTTTTGTCCACTATTGAGTACTCAATACAAGAAAGAGGCTAAAAATATTATTTTCAGCAGTTTGATTCTCCTCTGCAAGTTCTATATGTTGACTCTTCTGTTAAGTTGATGACAATCACGTTCATTTGGGGAGAAATGTAAAATTATTCAAAGTATTAGAAACATTCAGCCAACTATGCCAAGATCAGCTAGTGAGCAGTAAAGAGAAGGGATACATTTGTCTCTCAGGAAAGACACATATTAACTAAAATCTTTGGCCCGCGCTGCTGACAATTGCACGTGCACAGTCTGGCTGGAAGCAAGGGTGATCTCTCTTGCAGGGTGCCTTCCAAACAGAACTTGTACACACGTTCACCAGATGGGTCTTTTCAGACAGCAAAGTCCACTCAAGAATGGATGTTAAGAAAAACAGGGTAAGAATTATTTAATGAAATTATATAGACTCATCATTTTTGCCCATCCTATGTTTAGCTATCCCCATAACCTCTCAGTGCATCTAAATACCTCTCACAGCTGTACCCACCTTTCCATGGGGATTCTAGTGGGTTGAATGATGTCCCCTTCAAAATTCATCCCCACTCAGGACCTCAGACTGTCACTGTATTGGGAAGAGAGTCTTTGTAGCTGTAACTAGTTACAATGTGGTCCTACTGATTAGGATGAGCCCTAAATCTAATGACTGCCATCCTTAGAAGGAAAGGAAAGGACAGGGCACCTGGGGGCTCAGTTGGTCAAGCATTGGACTCTTGGTTTTGGCTCACGTCATGTCAATCTCAGGGTCATGAGATTTGATTTGATCTCATGATCAAACCCTAAGACTCTTTCTCCCTCTCCCTCTGCCCCTCTCCCCTCTCTCTCTCTCTCTCTCTCTCTAAAATAAATAAATAAATCTTAAAATTAAAAAAGGAAAAGAAAAGAGATGACATAGAAAACACAGAGAAAAAAGCCACATAAAGACGGAGACAGGCATTGGAGAGATGCAGCTACAAGGCAAGGAGCATCGAGGATTCCCAGGAACTGGAAGAGGCAAAAAGTTCTCCTCCAGAGCCCATGGAAGGAGAACAGCCCTGCCAACAGCTTGATTTTAGACTTCTCCAGACCTGTGAAAGAATACATGTGTGGTGTCTTAAGCCACCTAGTTTATGACAATTTGTTATGGAAGGTCTAGGAAACTCATACAGGGACTACCACACAGAGTTGGGCCCAAGAGCTCATCATCTTTTTGTAGTGATTCTTTGTACTTTGTACTATACTCTCCTATTTGTACTATATGTCTCCACCCATGGCTGTCACCTCTATCCACACCCCTGCCCCATGTACTTTACTTTTCCAACAGAGTTCTCGTCTTTGAACTTGGATAAGCTTCCAAAGACCCTCTGAATCAGTAATTCTGACTTCCAGATTTTTCTCCTAAGGAAATAATTGGATATACATAATTATTCATAGGAGAATATTTCTTAGTGAATTAATAATATGGAAAAATTGGAAGCCACTCAAATGACCAAATGTTGGAAATGGTTGAATAAATTATGGTAGATTCATATGATTGAACATTATGTAGCCAATAATATTATGTTCTTGAATTAACATGTGAAAATAATTGGGATATAATGCTCACTGCTAAAAGCAGGATAAATAACTCCATACAATATGATTCCATTTTTTGTGTATAACATATTTGTATAGATAAAAGATTAGATAAAATTACATTGTATGGTTATCTCTGAGGAGTCACATGAAAAATTTTATCTGATCTTTTTGTATATCCTCATATTTCTCTAATGATCGTGTATTCTGCTCATACTAAGAAAATAAGCAATATATACCTTGATCAAAAAAATTCAAACTTCCAGTACAGTGGCTTTCAAGCTATTTTCACCATATCTCTTAGTAATAAATACGGCATACATTATGACTATTGTAGCTTGACTAATGCCCACCCCCCAAAGATGTTCACCTCCTCACCACCAGAACCTATGAATGTTACTATGTTACTTCACGAGGCAAAAGGAACTTCACAGGTGTGACTAAATTAAGGACTTTAAGATGACAAGATTATCCTGGACTATCTGGTGGGACAAATGTGGTTACAACAATCCTTCTAAGAGAGCCAGGAAGATCAGGATGAGGAGGAGCAGATATGAAGATGGCAGCAAGAGGTTGGAATGATGTAAGGAAGCAGCCAGGAGACAAAGAATGTGGGCAGCTTCTAGAAGATGAAAAAGACGGGGAATCAGACTCTTCCCAAAAGCCTCAAGAAGGAATGCAGTCTGCTAACACCTTGGTTTTTAGACTCCTGACTTCAGAACCATAAGAGAATAAATGTGTTCCTTTCAGGCATGAATTCCATGGGAATTTGTTATGCTATCTATAGGAAACTGATACAATGACCTACCACACACACACACACACACACACACACACACAAACAGAAAGTGTCACAAAGCATGACTTTCTCTGACATTTTCTCTCCTATTTTCATGGAATGATTCGTGTCCTCCAAAAAAGATACATTGAAGTCCTCACTCCCCACTCTGGGTACCTCAGAATATGGCCTTATTTGGAAAGAGGGTCTTCACAGAGGTAATGAAGTTAAAATGAGGTCATTGGTGGGGGGGGGGTCCTAATCCAATACTGGTGTTCTCATAAAAGGGGGAAATAGGGACACAGACACATGCAGAAGGAAGATAATATGAAGAAACATGGGGACATCCTTGAAGACAGAAGCACAGATGGGAATTATGTTGCCATAAACCATGGAGCCCCTGGGGCTATTAGAAGCTGGAGGAGGGAAGAAGAATCCTTCCCTTACAGGTTTCAGAGGGAACATGGCCCTGCAGACACCTTAATTCAGATTTCCAGCCTCCAGAACCATGAAACAATAAATTTCTACTGTTTATAACCACCCAGTTATTAGTACTCTGCTATAGTCCTAGGAAACTAAGATACCCGTTCTATTCTGTTCTATCTTATTTCATTAAAATAGCTGATTTCTCAATCTACTAATGGAATGACATCAGTCTTTGTAACTTGACATTCGAGCTTTCCCCACTCTGATTTCTGTATCTCCATTTTAGCCAGCTGCTAACCCATCCTGAGTACATCCAGGAGTCCCGAACAGTCAATCATTCCCAGAACACAGAATCAATTCACATGTGGTTATGTTCTTTGCTTGTGTTACCCACTTTCTCTGCAATATCTATTAATTTTTAATGCTCGGCTTCATGTCACCTCAGGTCACCTGGCTCCTTAGCCAGAGTCACTTGGTCCCTGTTCTCTGTATGGACAGTAATTTGTATAGGCCCCAGTTAGCTCTTATCATACTGCATTATGGGATCAAGTTAAGTGGCTCCTCTCTCCAACTAACTTCAAGTTTCTAAAGAAGACCACTTCTTTCTTCTTTCTTCCTTTTTTTTTTTTTTTTTAAATCTAAGCTTCAGTACCTAATGTCAAACCTGATATACCACAAACTCAAATATAGGGTGATTCAAATATGTTAGTGCAATTTTAGTTATAATAACCTCAGAAGTATAAATGCCACAAACTTATAAAATTGTCATTTGGAAGTTTACTTCTTTTGACTCTAAGTTTTAATTATTTTAATAGATGTAATTTTTTTTCTTTTAATTAACATGTCCCATTTTTCACTCAGGGGAAATGAAACAAAAATTAAAACTGAAAAATGTGTTACTCAAAATTCACAAAACTGAGTAAGTGTGGTAGTTAAACTTTCAAGTGATGGCTTTGAAAGCTGCAGCATTTATACCTCTGAAGTTATTAAAACTGCAATAAAACTTTGGCGACACCCTGTTTTTGAAGACATATGCTCAAGTATGATTCATCTTCTATTTACTATAAAATTCAGTTTGGTTTTCACGTAAGTGGCTCCATGTTGGGCAAAGGTATTCCTTGGCCAGTAGCTGTCCTTGTCCTAAGGTCCAAAATTTAGAGGGCCCCTTTTGGCCTTCCACTGGCTGTCCTCCACACAGAATGAGGCATCCATGGGACTAAGTCCATTGCGTGCCCCCTGCAGCAAATCTATCCTTCCCCAAATCTTGTTCTGAGTGTCCAGGATTCCCCAGATTGCTTTTCCAGAAAACTGAGACTCAGTGACATTAAGTAATTTGTTCCAGCTTACAAAATTAGTGCTATAGTTAGCTTAAGTTGCATAACAAACCACCCAAAATGTAAATGGCTTAAAATAACAATAAATTGGTTTTTTCTTCTGCACAGTGGACTGGCCGGGCCATTCTGCTGCTAATTTCTGCCAGGGCTCACTCATCCACTAGGCTAGTGGAGAGGCTGAGCTGCAACCCTCTCTGACTTCTCTTACTGGTCTCTCAGGGGTGCTGCTGTCTCTGGAATGTTCTGCCTCCTGTGTGCGACCTCTTACTGTCCAGGAGCCATGCTGTCTTCTCCCATGGTGGTTACAAGGCAGTAGCCTCAAAACAGAAGCTGCAAGGTGTTTTGATTTCTGCAAGGCATTTTGATGCTGGATGCAACCAGCACTTGCCCACATTCTAACAGCCAAAACCAGTCAGAAAGCCAGCTCTGAGTTAATGGGACCACGGAAAACAGACTCTACCTCTTGATGGGAAGAGCAGCCAAGTCACCCGACAAAGGAGCAGGGTGGTCTTGTTTGATCATCTTTAAAAATAATGGATCAGAACTAGTAGCCAAGTAGCACAGCCAGAATTCTAAGCCAGGTGGCCTGCCCGGGGTGCTCTAAGTAACCATCTCCGAATCACAGGACATTTGGGGACATTCCGATGTGGGAACGACTACATTCCTGTATTTTGTCTTACTTTGCGCTTGTAATCTCCTTACCTTTCTAGCCCCTGCGCCCGCCGCCCCCCATCCCCGGTGTCTGGCTCAGTGCCAGTACCTGAGGGCAGCTCAAAATACCTATCACTTACAAGAGATGTGACACTTAACCTAAGTCTCAGTTACCCGCCTGCAGAAGGGGATAATCTTAGCACAGAACCTATCAGGTTGCCATAAGGTTCCCAGGCCCTCCTGCAGAGAAAGCACCTGGCTCAGGGCTGGCCCTTGGTGAGCTCTCAGGATCAGTAGACTGGAATGGGCACTTGGAATGAATACAAGTGGGCTTTCTAAACAGTGGCAGGAAAAACACCACTGGGTTTCCAGATGCAAACACCCAGGTTGCGAGCACCAGGATTGCAAGCACCCGCTGGGGGCGGGGGGGCGGATATTTTTAAATACAATGTTTAAATTCTGAGAGCAGCTTTAAAAAAGAGGGAGCGAAAATCAAAACACGCAAAGGAACAAACCCACCAGAGCTGCGCCCGCAGCCGACCTTTCTCCCTTTACTTTTCAATATTCCCCTCCGGGGTGCCTGCTTCTTCCAGGTTGGAGGCTGCTGCGTGCGGCGGGGTCGCGGGGACGGGAGGTGGGGACCCACCTCTGGCTCCAAAGGTCTAGGTCACGTGGGCCGCGGAGAGGCGCGCTAAGAAGCCGGCGTCGGGCTGGCTAGTCGCGAGGGGCCGCACTTCTCGCCGCCTGCGCCACGGCTGCGCGGACCTGCGGGCTCGGGTGAGTGCGACGCGGCGCGCAGGGTCCTGCCTCGCGGTTGTCCCGGGACGCCGGGAGCGCCCGGTGGGTGTCTGCGGAGCCGCAGTGTGCGCAAGGCGGGAGCTAGAGCTTGGCCGGCTCGGAGTTTCCAGGTTGGGAACCGGGGAGGCTTGGCGCTAGGCTCTAGGTGCTCCCGGCCCGGGGAACGTTCCCGAAGGCTCCTGGCACAATACGAGGCAGTCGCACCGGGGCTTATTGCACGCCAGGAAACCTCTCGGTTCAGGGTTTTCCCCGGGGTGCGCGAAGCCTTGGGGTACCCCGTTACTCTTGATGCAAGGTGGGGACACATCCCCTGCCTCCCTCAACACGTCTTTGGGATGTTTTGATTTTGTGGGTGCTGTGGAAGAGGGGAAGCGGGAAATGCCTTCGAATTGAGCACCCCACAGAGGAAGAATTGTCCTGATAGAGAGAAAGCAAGCACAGAAGAGAGACCTGGAATATAGGACTAGGGGGAAACAGCTGGAAGCAGCTCCCTGCCAAGCAGATTCAGCCCTTACAGGGAAGTTCCTAGGAGCCAGTGGGACCCTTAGAGACAAATGGAAGCACCCAGTACCTTTTAGGACAGCTTGGTCTCACGGGAAATAATAGGCTTTAGAGTATTTATGGATTCAAATCCCAGCAATGCATTTTGCTAATTGGTGACTGTGAGCAAATCTTTTTAGGTTTGCTAAGCCCCAGTCTCCCTATTTTAAAGACAGTTATTTTTTTCTCCTCCTCTTAAATGGACAACTAACTTTTTACTATTTTTGATGTGAGATGAGTAAAAACAGAGATGGAAGGAAGAAAAAAAAATCAACTAGGATAAATTTTGCTAACTTGAACTGTAGCTTTTAAGAAAGTTGTTCAAAATAGGAATTTTTACATTTTTGTAAAAAGTAGATCACACTGGCTTTGTTGGTGTATAAGAGTCTGTACAGTTGTCAAGATCCTTAGGACGATTGGGATTTCTAGATTTGTGCTCCAGGCCACTCTAAGTCCAATGGTAACTCTTTATAATGTAATGCAAGTGTTCTTAGCAAGAAGCTGTTTCATTCTTTTTTTTTGGTGGGGGGAGGGAGTTGGGTTTTTTGGAAGGGCATAAGTGGTATCAGAAAATATATGACTCTAGCTTATAAACAAATTTATAATGGGGTTCTTCTAGACTGATTTTAGAGCCTGAGAAATAAGTGGGTTTTGACTGACAGGTGATTTAAGTAACTTAGAAGAGTGTTAAGCAAGTCCACAGGACTTGCCAATTCACACCCCTTGAGAAAATAAAAACAAGAAGCAAATGGCATGACCATATTTTGTTGAAGACTTTGTTTTTGTTTTAGAAAGCATATGATGTGTCAGAGGAAAGACTGAGTATTGACTACAATATTGGTATGCATGAAGTAAGATGAGAAGAGCTTAATTACAGCCTCAGATAACATCAGATTCCCGTTTATTAGCTCTGAAATTCCCGAGGTAAATAGGTAATGACCCATTAATAAGGAGTATAGTTCATTTTAAAAGGAAATGTGATTATTTCAGGTTAGCATTCCCAGGGGTTTAATACTGTGGGATTTTCATGGGCTGAACTAAGAACATTTAAAAGAATGGAAATAGGTAAGTTTCTCATAATTTGAAAGGTACCTTTTGAAGAATGCTCATGAATATCTACATAGATTTGGGAGAGGGTAAGCTGGACAGAATGCTAAGAACTGCACCTTGGCCAAAAATAGGAACAGAGTTTAAACTTTTTCTGATATTTGCAAGTTCAAAGATTTAAGCAGCAATGGACTCAGTTCACAGCACAGTGATCAGGTACTTTCATCATAAAACCCAACTACTAAGCATAAATGAACTGAAACTACAGTATTGACATTTCTCTCCCTCGGAGATATTACAGGAATAGCCTTGTACATGAAACCGTATGTTTTTCTTTTATTGCTTTAAACCAGAACCTGGGAAGTTAGATGGGGAGGGGAGGGGATAACTTTAGGTCCTTTGATCAGTTGGCCTGATAGAGCAAATTCTTAGCATCTTATCTTTCCAAATCCTTGGGACTTACTTAGCCTTTTCTACATATTCTGATTCTAATTAGTGGTTCATTTTAAACTGTTGGAGTTATTTACAGGTCGAAATATTTATGTAGGCATCCAGGGCTAGCCCTTCCTCCTTTCTCGTTTGGGACTCCATATCCCATTACTTATTTTTCAGAAAGACCACTAGACATATCTTGGTGTAACTATATGGTTCTTTGGGGGAGTAGGTAACCCAGCTCCCAAGAGATCAATTCTCCTTTTTCTTTCTCTGCAATCTGTTCTGTTCACAGTTCAACCTTTACTTTGTCCCAGATCATTTGCAAAATCTCCCAACTTAGCTCTCAGATGTCAGATCCTCTCCACTCTAGCCTAACACTGATGCTGGAATGAGCTTTCTAAAGCACAAGACACTTCCCTCCTTAAAATTTGCCTTCAGTGCCTCCTGACTGAAACCAGTATAAACTTCCTTTTTTTTTTTGGCCTGGATTCTGTTTCTTTTTCTTTATTTTTTTTATTGTCTTATGTTAGTCACCGTACAGTACAGCATTAGTTTTTGATGTAGTGTTCCATGATTCATTGTTACCATATAATACCCAGTGTTCCATCCAATACGTGCCCTCCTTAATATCCATTACTGATGGCTCACTGATCCCCCCCACCCCTCTCCCTTCTAAAACACTCAGTTTGTTTCATGGAGTCCATAGTCTCTCATGGTTCGTCTCCCACTCCAATTTCCCCCACTTCATTTTTCCCTTCCTTCTCCTAATGTCCTTTATGCTATTACTTATGTTCCACAAATAAGTGAAACCATATGATAATTGACTTTCTCTGTTTGACTTACTTCACTCAGCATAATCTCCTCCAGTCCCGTCCATTTGATGCAAAAGTTGGGTATTCATCCTTTCTGATGGCTGAGTAATATTCTATCGTGTATGTGGACCATATCTTCTTTATCCATTTGTCTGTTAAAGGGTATCTCAGCTCTTACTACAGTTTGGCTATTGTGGTCATTGCTGCTGTGAACATTGGAATGCATATGGCCCTTCTTTTCATTACATCTGTATCTTTGGGGTAAATATCCAGGAGTGAAATTGCTGGGTCACAGGGTAGCTCTATTTTTAATTTTTTGAGGAACCTCCACAGTTTTCCAAAGTGGTTGCACCAATTTGCATTCCCATCAATAGGGTAAGAGTGTTCCCCTTTCTCCACAATTTCTCCAACATATTTTGTTTCTTGCCTTGTCCATTTTTGTCATTCTAACTGGTGTAAGGTGGTATCTCAATGTGGTTTTGATTTGAATCTCCCTGATGGCTCTTGATGATGAACGCTTTTTCATGTGTCTGTTAGTCATTTGTATGTCTTTTTTGGAGAAGTGTCTGCTCACGTCTTCTACCCAATTTTTGACTTGTTTATCTGTTTTTTTTGGGTGGTGTGTTTGAGAAGTTCTTTATAGATCTTAGATATCAACCCTTTTTTGTGGTGTCATTTGTGAATCTCTTCTCCCATTCCGTGGATTGCCTCTTTGTTTTGTTGACTGTTTCCTTTGCTGAGCAGAAGCTTTTTATGTTGATAAAGTCCCAAAAGTTCATTTTCACTTTTGTTTCCCTTGCCTTTGGAGACATGTCTTGAAAGAAGTTGCTGTGGCCGATGTCAAAGAGGTTATTGCCTATGTTCTCCTCTAGGATTTTTATGGATTCCTATCTTACATTGTGTTCTTTTATCCATTTAGAGTTTATCTTTGTGTATGGTGTAAGAGAATGGTTCAGTTTCATTCTTCTGTACATAGCTGTCCAATTTTCCCAGCACCATTCATTGCAGAGACTGTCTGTTTTCCATTGGATATTTTTTCCTGCTTTGTCGAAGATTAGTTGACCATAGAGTTGAGGGTCCATATCTGGGCTCTCTATTTTGTCTCATTGGTCTATGTGTCCGTTTTTGTGCCAGTAGCATACTGTCTCGGTGAGCATAGCTTTGTAATATACCTTGAAATCAAGCAACGTGATGCCCCCAGATTTGTTTTTCTTTTTCAACATATCTTTGGTGATTCAGGGTCTTTTCTGGTTCATACAAATTTTAAGATTGTTTGTTCCAGCATTTTGAAAAATGCCATCGGTAATTTGACTGGGATGGCATTGAAAGTATAGATTGCTCTGGGCAGTATAGACATTTTAACAATGTTTATTCTTCCAAACCATGGGCATGGAATGTTTTTCCATCTTTTTGTGTCTTCTTCAATTTCTTTCATGAGTGTTTTGTAGTTCCTGACATACAGATCCTTTACCTCTTTGGTTGGGTTTATTCCCAGGTATCTTATGGTTTTTGGTGCTATTGTAAATGGAATCAATTCTTTAATTTCTCTTTCCACAGTTTCATTGTTAGTGTATAAGAAAGCAACTGATTCTGTGCATTGATTTTTTTATCCTGCCACATTACTGAATTGCTGTATGAGTTCTAGTAATTTGGGGATGGAGACTTGGATGAGCATGTCACCTGCAAACAGAGTGAGTTTGACCTCTTCTTTGCCAATTTGAATACATTTTATTTCTTTTTGCTGTCTGATTGCTATTGCTAGGACTTCTAGTACTATGTTGAACAGTAGTGGTGAGAGTGGAAATCCTTGTCCTGTTCCTGATGTCAGTGGGAAGGCTCTCAGCTTTTCTCCATTGAGAATGATATCTGCTGTGGGTTTTTCATAGATGGATTTTATGAAGTTGAGAAATGTTCCTTCTATCCCTATACTCTGAAGAGGTTTAATCAGAAAAAGATGCTGTATTTTGTAAATGCTTTTTCTGCATCAGTTGAGAGGACCATGTGGTTCTTGTCTCTTCTCTTATTTATGTGTTCTATCACATTGATTGATTTGCAAATGTTGAATCACCCTTGCATCCCAGGGATAAATCCCACCTGGTCCTGATGTATAATCCTTTTAATGAACTGTTGGATCCTGTTACTAGA